AAAAATATTTAATAATTACCTCTAAAAGTATTATTGTTTGTGTAATTACATTTAATAGTACTTAAAGAATCACTTAAACTCTATTTCATATAGGTAGTTAGTTTCTTTCTTTTACTTCCTAAGTAATTATCGTTATATGTTGTTTTTAAAAATCTTTCGGGCTAAAGCCCTCCCCCCACCAAAACTAAATCCTGGATCCGTTAGTGGTCAACAGTTTACCACTGGTATGGAGCCCAGGTAAGAAGACACCTTTAGTGGGGTTGGAAAACGACTTGTTGATAATACTTTTTTCTCTCTCAGATTTGTATTATTTATTTCTTATCTATTATTTTACGGATACATTAATGTTGTAATCAAATTAAAACTTTACAAATACTTTGTAAAAACTTATTTCTAGCTTTTTGGACTAAACTATAACCAAACAAGTATTTATTAAACAAGTATTCAGTCTGGCCAGAGACGGCGTACAGTTCACATCACTCCTGTGAAACTCGTTCATTTTTCACATAAACTAACTTATTTCATAACAATTTTTACAGTAATTTCTCACAATAGTATTTTTGTTTTTAATCCACCATAGTCGCGTCTTAATATTTATTTACGATTCATTATACATAGAAGAAAGTTCGTTAACCAGCTGCGGCGGAGAGAGGAGGAGTAGCTAATTCCTTTAAGCCCGAGAGTATTAAAGGCCATCAACACGCCTAAGTTGATAAACAACACTTTTTTTACGTAAGTAAATTTTTTTTTCTGTCAACAAAATGGTGCAGTGCTCAACTTGTGACGGCCCTATCGTGAGAGACGATAAATATAATTTAAGCTGTAATAAATGCCGTGTAATATTTCACGGCAAATGTTGCAATTACAGTGAAAAGGAGATTGACGCTATAAAATTACAAAAAAAAAGCTTGGCTATGTAAAAAGTGTGAGCAGGGCAAAAAGGCTGCCCCAGCTAATGATAACTTACCCAGTCCATCCAAGAGCGGCACCAGAGAACCCTCCTCATCGGATATTCTCCTGGCCGTCAACAAACTCGGTGAACAGGTAAATGAAGATATAAAAAATTTAAAAACGTCGCTTGAGAAGTATGGTGAACTCAGTTTCGAGTTGAATGAGAGGTTCACAAAAATAGAAGGACACCTCGAAGCCCAAGCGAAACGCCTAGAAGAACTCTCCTCAGAAAATAAGATGCTGAAATCCAGAGTAGGTGAACTTGAGGTGCGTGTCAACAAAGCCGAGCAAGGTCTACTTCGTAGATCAATAGAAATTCGTGGCATCCCGGTACGCGCGGGAGAGACTCCATCGGCCCTGGTAGCCAGCGTGGGAGCCGGCCTCGGGATTAAGATCAACCCAGAGGACCTCGACTTTGTTGAGCGACGGAGACCAAGAAAAGATGATCCCCGACCACCACCCGTGATTGCTCGTTTTGTGAGGCGTCTGTACGCGACTTGGTGCAAAGAAGAAAGGTAAAAAGGGACTTTTCTACTAGGGATATTGGTTGGCAAGAAAACGACTCCCACCGGATATATCTCGGCGAAGAAATGTCTCCTATGAATAGACGTCTGTACTGGCTCGCCCGTCAGAAGAGAGCAGCAGGCAAATTAAAATACTTATGGTTTGCGGGGGGGTAGAGTTCGTTGTAGAAAAGAAGATGGACACCCGGTGATCTACATCGATCAGCCACAAGATCTTGACATTTTCTGCTGACGGTTCGACATTCGTCAACTAGATGGTCATAATTGGGAAATGTTAAGCGTTGCCTACTATAAATCACTTTGCCGTATTATGTTACTGTTTTACCATTATTTTTTCTCTAGCACAACTGACGTAATCTTTTATTTTATCATGTTTAGTCTTTTTTATCATTGCTGCATATTATTATTATTATTTGTATTTAGCCTTTACTTGCTTCTTTTTAAATGTTATTCATTATATTTCAGCTGCCTTTCATCATATTTCTCTATTTCCTATCCAACATGACTAGTATCCTGACCTCTTGTCATGTTAATTCCCAATCCTTACCAGCCCATTTCGACGAATTTCAGCAATATTTTACCTGCAATTTTTACCATACTATTGCAGTTTCCGAAACATGGCTAAAACCCCACATACCTTCCTCTTCCGTTTCCTTACCAGATCACACCTTTATCCGCCATGACCGGATTACACGAACTGGTGGTGGTGCGGGTCTTTACGTCCATAATAGCCTAAAATCCCGAACCCTAGATATCTCACCCCCTTCCAAATGTTCCCACATGGAATACCTTTTTATTGAAATTTCCTTTAAAGCCCATCTTCTTCTATACGTTGTTGTATACCGCCCTCCTCTGGTACCTTTCGACCCATTGTTCGAATCAACCCTATACAAATTTATCCTATTTTACAGTAACATAATAGTTTCCGGTGACTTTAACGCCAATTTCCTTTCCGATTCCCACGATAAACACTACCTGGAAAACCTTTTCTACTCCCTTAACCTCTTTATAGTGCCATTTGCTCCTACTCATCACACTTGCTGGTCTGATACATGGCTGGACCTGTTTATCATCGATTCTGCGCAGAACCTTTTGTCCTCGTCCCAACAACCTGTTCCTTTCCTGTCTTCACATGACCTCATCCAACTATCATACAATATCCAGACCCCTGCGATCCTTCCTAAAACCATAACCTTCCGCAATATAAATTCCCTTACCCGTGAAAGCATCTTACCCGATATTGAAACCCTCTCAAATCTGTCAAAACCCCTCGAAAGAATAGTCCAATCCCAAATTTCCAATTATCTCGAAGATTTCAAACTTTTAGATCCACTCCAATCTGGCTTTCGCCCAGGCTTCTCCACTCAATCCGCTTTAGCTAAAATCACAAATGACATACATACTGCAATTGACGAAAGAAAACTGACTATATTAGTACTCCTGGACTTCTCCAAAGCATTCGACTCCTTAGACCATTCTATTCTCTTCAATAAATTAAAATCTCTATCCTTTTCCAATAGTTCTATCCAATGGTTCCAATCCTTTCTTTCTGACAGGACTCAAGCCGTTAGTATTCCGAATCAACCCTTATCTTCTTTCCTCACTTTGTCTCATGGAGTAGCCCAGGGTTCAAGCATTTCTCCTATCCTTTTTAATTCTTACATCAATGACCTTCCTAGTTCAATCCACCATTGTTCATACCATCTATATGCTGATGACTCCCAAATTTATTTTTCCTTTCCGCCCACTGAGTTATTAGAAGCGTTTACGAATATTCAGAGAGACCTAGATAGGATAAGTGCCTGGGCAAGCTTGAATAAATTAAAGTTGAATGCAACGAAAACTCAGGCCATTCTTATAGGTTCCAACTCCCTCCTTAGATCCATTTCCACCATCCTTCCTTGATTATTAATGACCAACCAATCTCCTTCACCTCTTCTGTAAAAAACTTAGGAATTACCATTGATCAAAACCTATCATGGAAACCCCATATTGCTCAAATCTCTAGAAGGTCAATTGGTACTCTTAAATTACTTCATCGTTCTCGTCAGCATCTCCCACAACCTATCCGCAGGCTCCTCGTTTCCTCATTGATTTTCTCCTACTTTGACTATGGCTGTGTGGTATACGGTGGCCTCTCGTTGGAGCTTGAGAACAGACTGAAGAGAATCATGAACTGTTTTTTAAGATTCGTCTTCGGCACTTCAAGATGGTCTCATGTGTCCCACCTATATGCCGAGTCAAAGTGGCTCTTCCCCTCTTCCCGGCCGCCTATACTTCCTTGGAAATTTCTTATACCAAACGATCAACTCCCAGCACCCTTCCTATATCTGTTGTCTCCTCCAGCCTAAACCCTTAGTCCACTCAATAAAAACGAGATCCCGTGTTTCTGACCTCTATATTCCATTCCACAGGACAAAAACCTATGAACGTTCCTTCTTAGCCCGCTCCGTCTCCTACTGGAATTCTTTGCCACATAACATCCGTCATGCCTCTTCCCTGTCAACTTTCAAATACCTCCTTTTCCAATATCTCCTTACATCCCAAACAGAAGATTTACCACCATAAATTTCATTTTACGAACTGAATTTGCGTGAAGTAAATAGTGGTGCCTACTGTTTAAGTTTTAACATAAAACAGCAATGATTTTTGTCACCTAGTTTGAGACTATTATTTTTACTATTTATGTATTTTTCTCTTCTCCTCAGGTTGTGCTTTTTCTTTCGGGTATATATGATTATATTTTATATTTTTGTCTTTATGTGTGCCAATATGAGAATGTACGTATAAATAGTTCCTTTTATTTATTTTATTTTTTTTCCATTACACCACAAGTATCCTAAGATTTTATTTTATCTTAGTGTCTGCATATTATTATATAAACCACTGTAGACATTATTATATTTTGTATTAAGTTAGTTTTCTATTAGATAGCCTATTGTTTACAAATTGTGTAGTTATGTATATATAAATATGTAATTTCTCTGTTTTTTTTGTTTCATCACAATTAAGTAATTTTGAGAAGATTTTGTGTTCATTTGTATATATATTTTATTTTTTGTTTTTTACTGGTTACATACTTTTTAAATAATGTATATAATATTAAAATTTTTATAAGTTAGTTTTTGGCCAGATTTGTACTTTACTTTGTATTAACTCATCATTGTTATTCTAAAGGGACTTAGTCCCAGAATAAAGTTTAGTTTTCTATTTCTATGTAATTCTAAGACTGACTGCAAATAACATAGCTAATACCCTTTACTTCCATATATTTCTACCTTATAAATTTGGCATTATCCTATTTTCAAATATTATATTTACTCATATGGAGGTGCTTTTAAATACAGTGATATATCAAAATACAATCTAAAAGCATAAAATTTAAATTACATTTACTAAATACAAAATAGTCTACCAGGAAACCAAAAAACTTTCTCATTAAAAAAAAATTCTCTCTCTTTTATTGTTAGAAATAATATAATTTTGTTATTTAACATATTGCAACTAATTAATTTTTTATTTCAGGTGCAGAAGATGTTGATAGATTTACAGGGAATACCACAAATATAGACTTCTTCCGGCTTGTTTTAAAGGACGGAAATTACATTCTTATTGGAGCAAGGTACTTTCTTTACTTACTTATAAAAAATACTATAATAAAGTTATTATTATGTTTCTAATTAGTTACTTAATTCACTCGTCATTTATTGTAATATAATACTTTAAATATTTTGTGCCATGTATGCATTGTATTTCAATTTATTCATGGAAACGAATATTAATTAATATTTGTCAATTTTACTCATTTTCAAAATCACTTTATTGTTAAGCTATTCTGTTCATCATAAAAGGGATTGTAGTAAAGATAAGTTTACCAATAAAATTTAAAGATAAGTAAAACATTAAATAATATTTTAAATAAATATTCAATCAGCTAAAAGCTAAGTTTTGCCTGAGAAATGAGGTGAGCTGTTAGTAGCTAAAAGGTGTGAATTTGAAATAGTAATTGGAAGTAGGGTCCAACTATACCATGATTCACAATATATGAATTTCTTATCTGTTTAAGAAATGATTGTCTATGATACAATTAGAAATAAAACACAGTAAAAAAATTTTACTGTTTAACGTATGCCACTTTTTACTATTTAATTTTTTATTAATACATCCCCATTTATTTTAATGTCTTAAATAGCTTAATACATTGTATGTTTTATTTTCTAACTGCACCTTCAATTATCTCTTAGATTTAATTCTTACTCATATCAGTAATATATATATATATATCTTTATAAGTGTTATAATGTTATTTAATTTAATATAATACATATCAAAATTTCATATTAGTTAATACTATTATTAACCATTTTGTTAATAATAACTTATTTTATAAAATTTCAGGAATATAGTATACAATATCAGTATCGCTGATTTTAGTGAAGCTCAGGTATGTACGTTTTTTCTCATTTAATTATTTTTATAGCATATTTTCCATTATATTTTATTAAAAATGTTCAGATGTGAAAAATCTATTGTTGTAAGTTGATTCAAAAAATTTAAAAGTTCTAAAATTTCTGTGAATTTTATGTTCGAATTAAAGTGGGTTTTATTTCAATCAGAGTACTCAAATTTATTCATTTGAACCCAGGGATCTAATATAACGGTTAATTAGGTTATTATTGGAAAAATTCCAAACCACACAGCCTTATGTCTCCAAAATGCAGGCAAAGAAAAAGGGTGATCCCTGATGATGGCTGAATTGATGAAACGTTGACGGGTCTTTTCTTTATCTGCATTTCGGAGACATAAGGCTGGAATTTTTCCAATAATAACCTAACATTTATGTTCTCTCTCTTGATTATTTTGTTACTAATTTATAATAAAGGTTAGTTATTTATTGAACCCTCATGGAACATAAGTGGCGACTGTGACAAGAACTATTAAGTACTCTGTTTTTTTGTTCTTTGACTGAGTTCAAAATGGAAGGTAAGAAAAAACAGAGAAGAATTTTCTGCGCTTTCTTTACAAGGTAATGACTTAAAACAGCTGCTTAATTGTGATATTCATAATTTAGAAGAATTATCCACTTACTCAGAGCTTTTGAAGAAGAAGTTCGAGATTTTAGAATTAATTGAGAAGAAAATGTGTGATCTTTCAATAGAGAATAGTGTATCTGATGAAGAAATGAAATCACATAATGAAGTGGCCAATGGATACAGGAAAAAGTATTAGCTTCTTCAAAGTAAGTACTAGAATATCTTTAAAGCTGATAAAATTACTATTGGAAATAATGAACAACATTGTGTTAAGTCGGTTTTTGACAAATTTGTTTGTTTGACTCTCCTCTGAAAGTCTGTGAAAATAAAAAGACATCATCAATCCGTGGCTAAGTTTTTGGTTTCGGGACATTTGAGAATGAAGATGAAAACATATATTCTAAAGATGATGCTAATGAAGATAGCATTAGAATATTTGAGAATGAAGATGAAGACATGTATGCTAAAAATGGTGCTAATGAAGATAGCATTAGAGCATTTGATTAGGATGATGAAGAGATTTATCTTAAAAATGATAAGTCTAGAAATGACTTTTCTTTGAAAGGCCATGCTAGTTTGAAGGAGGCTAGGAGGAAAGAAAGACAAAAAGAAAAGGAGGTGCTCACAGTGACGGAAAATTACAATTGCATTGAAGGGCTTATAACAGCTAAAAGCCAAAATCGCAGAATATTATTATTATCGCCAAAATATTATACACCTCCTGAACTGCAACCTGACATTGGAAACTTACTCAAAGAAAATTAGGATTTGTTCCTGAAGTTGTTGAAAATGTTCAAGCAGTGAGAGGAGAACATATAGTTAATTCTTCTGATAAAACGATCATTTTAGGAGAATCATTGCCTGGCCATCGAAAGGAAGGGGAAACTGATCTCAGTAAAGAAACACAGACTGAAGAAGACAAAAGTTCTGATGAGTAAGGTTTTAGACCTTCCATTGGAGATCCTGCAAAACAAGTGAGATATGTAAGATATCTTAGCTTTACAAAGATAGAAGCTAAAGATGCTTTGAAAAATATTCAACCTCAGAAATTGCCTCCAGAAATAGTAAAAGAGAAGAAAGATAAAAATGAAGTCATTAAAATTCAAAATATAAATGATATTAAAAATTCATCAGCTGCTGATATGGCTTTGTTCCAGAACTGATGTATGGTACCTCAATACCTACCAGACCAATTTTCATAGAGAACATAGCTACAAATGAAGACAATGAATCTTCTTGATATGAAATAGAATGGGTCAACAAACTTACTTCTAAGAAAAAGAAGCATTAAAAAAAAAGTTATTCTAGGGTTTGAATACTGAAGAGTGTTCCTCTGGTTGTTTTATTATTTTTGAATTATAAGAAACAATTCAAAACTCCTCAGATGTTTGGACGTTATAAAGTCAGTCTAAACTCATGTTTGTTTTATAAATATTTAAATTATTTCATATTGTTAAAAATATTCAGATGTAAAAAAACTATTGTTTTAAATTGAGTCAAAAAATTTAAAAGTTCTAAAATCTATAAGTTTTGTGTTGGAAATAAAGTGAGTTTTATTTCAACCAGGGTACTCGAATTTATTTAATTTGAACCTAGAGATCAAATATAACAGTTAGTTATATATTGAACCCTTACGGAATATAAGGTTTGTCAATTAGTAATGTTTATTATCACAAAATGTCTACCATTTCATTTATATTAGATGAGATAAACTTGAATCTTATTAATTCCTCTCACATGATTGCTTGCTTGGTGAGAATGGACTGGACATATAAAGCCTTATGAAACTAAAAATATCAATTGAAAAGATGTTTGATGTTAACGGGATTGCGTATAGTTGTGACATCCTTTTATTTTTTTAATGAGGGCCACTTTTTAACTCCTGGTTTTTCCTCATAAAGCTGCAAGAGAAGGTAGATTACACTTAAGTATGTTTTGAATCATAACTGATATGGTTTGTTATAGTCAAAGAATTGTTCTTTTTAAAAAGTGTGAAGATTTTATTTAGATTGGTATAATACATACATACATATATGGTGCTACATCCCATCACCGAGACTGGGCCTCCTCCATTGGTATAATACAGATATGTAATAGAAGAAATTTTTCCAACTTGATTTTATAATTTTTCTGGCTCACATCATCTTGGAAATTTAAATTATAGTCTATTTGATGTTATTTGATTGACAGATACTTAGTCATGATTTATGTTTAACACTGAACTGGCCTAGTAGACATAGGAATTCCAATTTTTATTTTATGGAAATTGCCTCTTGTTTGATAAATTTCCATTACAAGAGAAAACAATAGTTTACTTGCTGAATATTTTTAGTAAAAAAAATATAAAAAGAAAACCTTTCTTGAGTTTTGAAATTTACATTTACAAACTTAGACCTTAGATTATGTCTTAAATTTATTAGATTATTGTTTTGGGATTTCTCTCAGAATAAGCTTCTGATCAAAAATATTTTATTATTCTATCTAATATTTAATATGTACTATAGATATTGCACTAATATTTAATATTTACAATCTTTTATTCTTCTGTTTAATATTTAAGTTACATTAATAACAAATGTTTTATAATTTTTAGAAGCTGCAGTGGTATTCACCAGATGATGTTGTGAAAATGTGTCTTGTAAAAGGAAAAGATGAGGTAAACCAATATTTAATTTTTCTGTTGGATTCATTATTTATTTTCTCACTGTTTTACAAGTATTTTAGTTTTTGATCAGAACACTGCATGTATACTTTTTTTAGCGTCATATTATCAAGAATCATATTTTATTCTTTACCATGCCAGATTATTTTGTTATTAAGTATTTATAGCTCTAAATTCAGATGATTGTTTTTTATAAGAGAGAGAAATACTTTAATTTTCATATAAAATATAAAAGCTTGCTGCCCAATTATATTAAGTTGCTGAACACACAGCATACTGATTAATCTTTAGGACAATCAATAAAGCTTATACATAAATATATAGAAGTGGTTAATAAGTATGAGTATAATAAATATGTATTGTTGGTTACGTTTCCTTTGAAAAGTAAAAAAACAGTTTCTGAACCAAATTATTTTTATTTTACACAATAATTATTTTAGATTATTTCTCAGGTTGGTTTGAGACAATAAACACACATTCCTCAATTACATAATCTAAAAGCATACATTATTTTTTTATGAAATATTTATGAATTTTCATTCAGTTTTGTCGGGGTCTACTCTTGGCATTTTGTAATTGTCACTAGTTCTGTGCATGCGCTAGATTGTAACAGTCAACCTGTACTTCATCTCTTAAAAATATTCATTTTTCTTTAGAAAAACAGTGTTAGTTTTAATTAAAACAGTGTCAAGACGTCAGTCATCTAGACCAAAACATGAACTAATTCTACTTTAAGTACAGTTGTTATTTATTGTGTACTGTTGTGAACAGTGAATAGAAGTTAAGGTGGATAGTGCCTTATCTCGCCATAGTGCCACATAGCTAGATAACAACAGGTCAGTTGGTTTGCTGCCGTGCTCAGGGGCAGTCTCTGCAGCCGAGCACGTCCGTGATTAATTGAAAGTCAATTTCAAGCAGACGATTTTTTTTTTTTTATATGATCCTTCATTTATGAGATATTATCATCAGACCATGTCATATAAAAATGCACCTAAGCGGTGTGGATCTATCAGATCCACACCATGCTCGTCTCCTGAGAAACAAAAAAGTCGTCGAGCGAAAAGAATGACGCCACCTGCGACTCCAGCTACCCCGGTAACAACAGAAGTCATTCAATCTCTGCGAGAGAAGCACTAGGATTTCCTGGAGTCTTGCTTTGGCTTCCACATTTGGGGGACAAAGCTTGATTCAGAGTCCCCTGGGCCAATGTAAATATTGTACATTGGTGTGAATGTGTTTTATTTATTTTATTATCATTCGGCTTTAATCTGTTATTAGACTTATCTTTTATATTACTTTATCTTTTTATATATTTGTGTGTGTTTGTGTGTGTGTGTGTGTGTGTGTGTGTGTGTGTGTGTGTGTGTGTGTGTGTGTGTATGGTTGTGTATATATATATATATATATGACACCTGGGACTCCATGCAGGGGTGCTTAATTAATGTTTAGTTTTAGGTCATTCGACCATTCAGACCCAGAAATTACTTGCTTTTCATACATGTATTTATTCACTTTTGGGGTCTTTTTAAAATGGCAAACACCAATGCCCTGCCACCTGCAGTTGGCCCATTCCTCAAATGAATTTTCTCGTAGCGACTGCCGTAGAACTCTCATATTTCTATGACTCTGATCAACCCCCAATCTCTCAGCACATTCAACAACTTCAGCCTAATAATCAAAAGTTGATTGGAAAAGGGCATCTGGTAAAGTGGACAGTCACTGAGCAATGGACTGGTCTGATGTTGAAGAGGAGCCTACCATTGGCAGCAGATTAATCCCAATCCTCGGTATCTCCTGGGGGCATACAATATCCCTGTGAAGGTATTCGCAGGGAGTCCAAATATAGAGATATTCTTTTTAATTATTAATTTCAGATTTAAAAACAAAAATATCATTTAACTGTTCCTTTAATTACTCCTCAAACTCTTAACTATGATGTTTCTGATATTAGACTTTGAAACATAAAACATAATGGATTATTGACAATGGATCATTGACCAGTTCATTCATACATAATATTTCATGTAAGTTAAATCGTTGTCACAGCTTCATCTGTTCTGTGAAAGCCTTCCTTTTGATAAACATGAACTGAAAGTTTGTTTTTATTTTTTCTAAATCCACTTTGCATAATTAATCAATTCTAAGATAGCACCGCTTATATTGAACCTCCTTAGGAATTCATACTTTGCTGTCTGGGCTAATATTAAGCAACCTTTTTCAAGTTTACTTGTCTCTCTAATTCTGACTAGTTAGGTTGTAAATCATTTTATTTATTTTTGTTCTAAAAAAATATTGAAAAAAGACATAATACACAAATGCACTTAATTTGATGTGAAAAGTTTTTATAAATATTTCATTGTTTTTTTTTTCTAGGAAAACTGCCAAAATTATATTCGCATTATTGCTAGAAATGAGCAAGGTAACCTAATTCTTTGCGGTACTAATTCATTTAAACCAGTTTGCAGAGAATATGGAATCACGGTAAGCTATCATTCCTTTCTACTAAGATGAAAAATATTTGATACTGTTATTAAATTATTATTTTCTCTTTTTCAGGCTGGATCTTATACATTTATAAGAGAAAAGCCTGGTCAAGCTGTATGCCCTTATGACCCTTTACATAACAGCACTGCTGTTTATGTTGGTAAGTACTTTTTTTAAATCTGAAAATCTTTAAAATTGTTATGATGTTGATTTGTACCATTTTCGTAAATGTTCTGTTAATAAACCATAATTGAAGTAATTTTTCAATATATTTATTGCATTATTTTTGTTTTTGAAAGAAGAGGTACAAAATATTTTTGAAAATTTCTAATATAGCTGCAATAACTAAGATCTTCAACAGTCAGACAATATGAATACATTCCTTTCTCTTTCATTCCTAATACCTAAGCTTCTATATGTCACAATAAAGCTACTTCCACTTTCTTTTGAAATTTTTATTGACAATTTCTTTGGAACAGTATACGTATGGAAATTTCCGTGTCGAAAAGTGTTCTTTAACTTTTCATTGGTCGAAACTCAGGTGTAGGTGTAACATGGCAATTTATCCAGCCTAAAAATGAATTATCTCAAGCAGTTGCCTAAAATATGTGGGGATGGTTGGTGTAAATTCCTCAAAAGTTCCTCCCGGCTAAGTCCAATGGACTCGCTGGCCAACAATGAGAGGAGCTCTTCAGACTTGCTGGAGGTTGTGACGTAAGATTGAACATCCTACTCGCATATCTATAGTTCACAAATCACCGAACATTCATGGATCCTCATAAAGTTAAACCCTTATTATCCAGCAATCCAGTAAACTAGTCCCCCGATCAGGTCTCCAGGTGGGTACTGCTTTAGGGGATTCATGACACAAGTTGAAAACTAGAGAGTTAAATATAGCAACATGGAACGTAAGGAGTTTGAATACAGCAGGTGGGTTAAAATCGATCACAAATGAGGTTAATGGGTACAATTTAGATATCTTGGCATTGCAAGAGGTTCACTGGCCAGGGGAGGGATCCATAAGGGAAGGTAAGTACACTTTTTGGTACTCAGGAAGCGGAAATCATTGTATAAGTACGAGTTTTCTTATTAGGAATAGATTTCTATCCGCTTTGAGGGACATACAATTCTTTTGCTATATGATTTTAGTGGCCATATTCCAGGGGCATTTGTTTAAAATTGTATTGATAAACATACACTGCCTGACCAAAGATAGTGATGATGAAGTTGAATGCGAATTTTATAATAAACTAGAGTGGGTTTATGATAAACTACTGTGAAGCTGCATGGGAATAATTTTAGAAGATGCTAGCACAAAGGTGAAAAGGGAAGAAGTTTATTTTCCGATGACTAGTAAAAAAAGTTTACACAACTATAGTAATGATAGTTTATTTGATAGTTCTAATAAATTTTGCCATTTCAAAAACCTAATAATTAAAAGTACTACGTTTAAACAAAAGGATATTCACAAATACACTTGTACATGACTAGATTAGCAAACACGAAATCAAATCGATCACGTGTTGATACAACATAAGTGGCAAAATAGTATAATTAATGTAAGATCTTATCGCGGGGCAGAATGTGGGTCAGATCATGAATTAGTAATCATGAATCTTCGTCAAAAACTTAATATAAAAAAGAGTTAATAGAACCGTTTTGATTCCCAGAATTTTAAATTGGAAAAATTAAAAAATCCATCAATTAGAGCTGGAAGTTAAGAATAGGTTTGAAGCTTTAGAACCTTCTGAAGAGAACTGTGATAACATAGACAACTTATGGATAAGGATCAGGGATAATGCTAAAGAAGTTGGTAACTTGTGTCTTGGAAAAAAGCAAAATAAAAATAACAAACTGGGGTTTGATGAAGATTTCTTAAACATGTACGAAAAAGGAAAAGCTGGTCAAATAATAGCTCTAAATAATCCTAGTGAAAACAATCATGAATACTTCTGAGCCTTAAAGAATGAAACTACTACATTGTTCAGAAATAAAAAAAGAAAGTATCTTAAAAATAAAATAATAGATATTAAAAAAGAAAATAATAAAATCGTAAACAATGTAAGAGCCATGAACAAAGGTATAAATAAATCACATAAATGTTTAGGATCCATAACGACTGGAATTAGGGATGAAAATTACAATTTCTTCACTGATCCTGTAGACATATTGAATAAGTTTAAGAAACACTTTGACAATATTTTAAATACGAGAAATAATGCCCTTCTTCCGAGTGGCAGAGTGTCAACCGTTAATAGAAGAACCAAGTAAAGAGGAAGTTTAAATAGCTATCGGAAAATTCAAATATTTAAAGCAGCAGGGACCATTGATATTCCTAGTGAACTAATTAAGGCATGCAGGGAAGCTGGAGTTTATAAAATACATTTTTTGGTTAAAAAGATCTGGGATAATGATAAATTGCCTCAAGAATAGAAAGAATCCATTCTTATTCCGATTCACAAAAAGGGCCCGAGGATGGATTTTAATAACTGTCGAGGAAAATCACTCCTTCCTATATGTTATAAAATATTCACATTAATCTTAACTAATCAAATCACAGAATACACCAAGGAAATTATCGGGTACTACCGATGTGGATTTAGGCAGAACCGTTCGAGTATCAATCAAATATTTTCTTTATGAACAATTATAGAGAAAAAAATAGAGTACAACGGTATTGTTCACCAGATTTATATCGATTTAAAAAAGGCTTATATGATTCCATTGACTGCCAGAAGCTCTATAATATTCTAATCGAGCTGGAGATCCCAAAATAATTAGTGAATCTAGTTAGGATGTGTATGTCCGAAACATTCAATAAAGTTAGAATTGGTTATTATTTATCCGAGAAATTTAAGGTTCATACGGGCTTAAAACAAGGTATTTCTCTTTCACCTGTCCTATTTAATTTGGTATTAAAGAGGTAATACATACCGAAAAAGGTTTGAATCTGGGTGGAACAACATCCATGCTTGGGTATGCTGATGATTTGATACTGTTAAGCGAATAAATGGAAACAATAAAACTAAATACAACAATGTTGATGAAATCTGGTAAAGAACTAGGACTGATAATAAATACAGATAATACAAAATATATGGTTAGCTGCAAAAACAGCGACAATGTCGAAGATATCGATACAGAAGGGATTAAATATGTTTGAGCACATACAGACTTTTAGGTATATAGGGTCTATGATAACTAGCAAAAGCGAAATTGAAGAGGAAAGTAAGGTTGAAGGCGGGAAATGCTTGTTATTTTTCTTTGTTAAAATTACCTAGTTCCCGCCTCTGGCCCAAAATTTAAAAATTAGAATTTACAAAACCATTATCCTTCCTAAAGTTCTTTATGGATGTGAAACGTGGCCGCTTACATTAAGGGATGAGCAGCATCTTGAGGTTTTTGAAAATAAAGTATTGCTTTTTGCAAGTATAGAATATTTGGACCGAAAAAGGATGCGTGAACTGGAAAATTTAGGTAGTTACACAACACTGAATTGCACGAACTGTATCTGTTTAATATAATTGAGATGATTAATTTGAGGCGAATAAAATGGGCATGTTCGCTGGGCTTAGTTAATATGGGGATAAGTTAATATGCCCTATGCCAACTGGCAAGCGTCCGAGAGGTAGACCAAAGATGGGAAGATTGCATTAAGAGTATTCTACTGGGTTGGGTTTAGAGCTCAGTTCCAGAGCCCTGCGGATGGAAAAATGTGGACATCAATTGGTTGTATTAGCATCGAACCTTAGGGTTCGCTAAGTCTTATTATTATTAATAGTTGCCCAAAATAATAAAATTATTTATTGCATTATTTCATAATCTGGTCATATGTGTGATTATCTTCCCTGTGATGTTAATAAGAATTTCCTTTATCTGTATGTTTATTGTTATATTTGTATCTTTATTTTTTCTTTCGCCAATTGAAGCATTGTATGTGTTCTTAAAGTTGATATTTGCTATTTATTCTCTACATGTGTTGTTTTGTTTTTTCACCATTGACAAGTTTAATTAATCCAAACTTTTCCCTCTGTCTTTTATTTTCCATAAGAAAACAAAAACTGCATTTCTATGTGAATGAAAAATTTTTGTTACTTTAATATAAATTGACATTGATTTTTTTTTTAAATTAGATAGATTTTTAGTTAATTTAAAAATTATCAATGGATTAAATATTTATGCTTATTATTATATTCCTTATTATTTTGGTAATTTATGACTTTTTTCTACAGATGGTGATTTGTATACTGGAACAGTTGCAGACTTTTCAGGAATGGATCCTATCATTTATAGAGAGCCTCTTCAAACAGAGCAATATGATTCAATGAGTTTAAACGGTTATTATCTTTTTACTAAATAATTATAATTCACTTGCTATATTTATTTATAATACATCATTAACTTTGCATTTTTTTTTTCCTCTTTAGCACCCAACTTTGTCAACTCAATGACTCAGGGAGATTTTGTTTATTTTTTTTTCCGAGAAACTGCTGTGGAATACATTAATTGTGGGAAGGTAATTAAAACTTAGCCATGTTTTTAACCATTAAAAATAAAATTATTTCCATGTACTGATAATTGTCTATTGTAACAATATGAGCAGCCATTAGTGTATTTAAACTATCAAAATTTTAAAGTTTAATATTTGGCCGTTTCTAAAGTTTTATTCCTTCATTATAAAATGTATCAGTGTATTCAAACCAGTGATTATTTTACTCATTGAATTAAATTTATTCTGTTAACATTTTTATTATTTCAGGCTGTTTTTTCAAGAGTTGCTCGTGTATGTAAATATGACAGAGGTGGACCCCATAGATTTAGAAATAGATGGACCTCATTTCTTAAATCAAGACTCAATTGCTCAGTTCAAGGAGATTTTCCATTCTACTTCAATGAAATACGTCAGTAAAAGTTTTACTTAACTAAATATTCATCTTTTTGTTTAACTGATTAGATATATATTTTACTCATTCTTCGCTTTTCTTATTTATTTTGCAATAAAAAAAGAACCATTTTGAAGATAATGCTTCATAAAAACAATAAATTAATGACACAAAAAATTATTAACCTGATAAAAATTTACATTTTTATGTCTTAAGTTATGCAATTCAACAACTTAAAATATTTTATTTTAATGAAATTTACAACTGTACTACATGGAAAATACAACAAGTAAATGTGACATTGGTAACATGACATGTACAACATGAAGAGAAACTACCCATTGGTAGAACTCATATTAAAGTTCTATATTAGAAGGTCCCGAGGCCATCTTCCTTTCAGACACCTTGGAGGGTTATCAGAGATCGAGGAGGAAGCAAAGTTTGAAACGAGAGGATTCGGATGGTTCTGCAGTTTGTTATGGAAGGATAGGTATCTGGATTGGGCCAAATCGGAAACATATGGAACATTAAGGTCTTTATGGATGATTTTATTTGTGACAAAGTAAGGAGCGTTGAGGATTTTACGAAGAATTTTGGATTGTAAGAATTGGGGAGGAATTCGATGGTTTAGCGGAGCCCCAAAGCTCAATTCCGTAAGTCCAAATAGGTGTTATTATTGTCATATATATGAGTCATTTGTAATTGATTGAAAGCTTAGAGCGTTTGTCTAGTAAGTGCTGCAGTAGTCGAAAACGTCGGGCGGTTTCTAGTCATTTCAGTCTAGTATGGGGGTTCCAAGTGAGTCGTTTGTCAAGGTGGAGTCCTAAGTATCGGATTTGTTCGACAGGGATAAAAGGGCTATTGTTGAAGGATACTGTAGGACAGGAAGTCATAGGTTTACGATGAAGAGTGAAGGTAATTTGATGGGATTTATTGGAATTTATTTGAATCCTCCAGTTTTGACACCATTTTTCAAGATTTGTGATGTTTGATTGAAGAGTTTGGGATGCAATAGATGGATCGATATTAACTGATAAGATACACGTGTCATCGGCATAGGTGGTGATGAGAGTTTTGGATTGGGTTGGGATGTCAGCTGTATAAACTGTGGAAAGGATAGGACCTAGGATACTACCTAGATGAACACCGGCAAACTGAGTAAAAAGAGGCGAATAAGCATTGTTATGATTGACTTTGAAGTATCTGTCAGTAAGGTAGAAACGGATAATGAGGAATGTATGTAGGAATTTACGGAGTTTGTACATCAGTCCTGGATGCCAGACTCTATCAAACGCCTGTTCAACGTCGAGAAAGACTCCCGTGCAGTACATTCCGCGCTCCAATGCAGAGGAGACTACATATACCACACGATGGCATTGCTGAATAGTGGAGTGGGATGTGCAGAATCCAAATTGGTGATCTGGGATAATGTGTTTAGAGCCTAGTATGGGATAAAGGCGTTTTAAGATGAGTTTTTCCAGGATTTTGCCCATAATGGGTAAAAGAGAGATATGACCGTTAGAGGATGGATTTTCTGGTGGCTTTATGGGTTTAGGTATCATTTTGACAATGGATAGTTTCCAAGAGTCAGGAAAATATGTGGTTCGGAGTACAGCATTATATATATATAGGTTAGGAACAGTTTGGCTTTTTTAGGAAGAAATTTTAGGATCTGGGATGTGATTAGGTCATGGCCAGGAGCTTTGCGGGAAGGTAATCTATGAATGATATTGGGTATTTCTGAAGGATGAAATGCTTTAGGTGGAGGAGTCAATTGGAGTAGGATATCCAATTCTGCTTCAATAAACTCAAGGTGGGTTGGATTAAGGATATCTGGGTGTGGATTAAATGTTTTAAAGAGGTGGTGAGAAAATATTTGGGAATTTTCTTCGTCGGATTTGGACCAGGTTTGGGCTTCAGTGAGTAGTGGATGGTTGCAGTCTTTAAATTTCAGGAGCCTTTTAGTGGTCGTCCATAGTGATTTATCGGTAGGTGTAAGTTTTTCAGTAAAATTTAGTAAATTTTGAATTTTGTATTTTCTAATTTCAGCTTTTAGTTGGTTAGTTAATTTGTTGTAATGTCTTATCTGATGGGTATCTAGTCCTGTGCCACTTTGATCTTGCTTTGCATTTTTCCCTTATTAAGATACGAATATGCTGCAGCAAATTTGTCTGTTGGGAGTTGTCGGTTTTATTGGTAGATGTATTATCATTTATTTTGTCACTTATAGATGTAGTAAGTACTTCTATGGCTGTGTCAATGTCACGTTTCGTCTTAAGTGGAATATTTAGGTTCAATTTATTTTCCAGGTCTTTACGAAATTTGTCCCAGTTTACTCGTCCTGTAAACAGTGTAGGAGAGGAGGAGGGTTTAGGAGCAAAGGTTGTGTGTAATGAAAGTAGAACTGGAGAATGATCTGAGGAGAGGTCATCCAGGGATGTGATTTTGACATGGGAAGAGGAAATTTGGGAGGTGACAAATATGTCCAGGATATCAGGGCGTTTTTTGAGGGATGTTGGCCAATAGGTAGGATTCATAGGAGAGAGGACAGAGTAACTTAAAATATAAAGTCATTTCTGGAGTTAGGAGATGGTCCGGGGTGGTGGTCATAAAAATACTAAAAGTATTGCAGGGGATTTCAAGCTCTAGCCTACCTCATCAGTCCAAGCTGACCGAAGAGGCGTTTCCCGCCTGCGGCCCAGGGAGCCACCTGACCAACCCTTGTTGTCACCTTTGCTTCCTTTCCTAGGGTGCTGGTCATCATTGGTAGATTCCACTACTTACCAGAGAAGGGGTCTCTGGCTAGTTCCAACCATCGGAAGGCGCTCCAAACATTTGATGAAATAAAATATATGAGAAAATGATTTTTGGGACCTTCTCTGGTTGTCTCCCTGCCTTGGGGACTCTCGGAAATGGCTGACCTGGCCTGATAATAACAGTAACAATAAGCAAACTGAAAATAAACCAAATATTCTGCAAATGGAAGTTTATCTATGAAAATTAAGAAATTTGGTATTGAATGATGAAATATATTGTTCTATACTTGGGACATGATAAGAATCAACTTTCTTCTAAAATAAGTTATTTTATCATTGCAATAAGTATTTTTTTTTTTTTTTTTCTGGCAGGCTTACTTATTTTCAACTGTAATAATACTTTTTGTCAACTCTCATTAAACATGTTAAAAAGACAATTTCAACCTCAATTTATTTTTGCTTGCTTGTTTACAAACCATGGGTATGGCCAAAGGAGGCCAGTGATATAACAGATTAGCAATTAATCTTTAATGTTTAATTATTTTATTTCAGGACATTGACATACTAACAACCAACCTATCCCTGTTAAATTTTTTTCAGAAATTAGTTTATATTTTTGCTACTTTATTTCCTATTTGATAATTTTTTTTTCCTTTGGAAGGCAAGAAATGTGTCACCACATCTGGATACACCTATTTTATCACCCAGTGGCAGTCTTAGAAATTTAATACCCCTGGGCAATTACATCACGAGTACCTCTTCTGTCTTCCCAGAAAAAATAAATAAAAAATGTGATTTAGGAAGAAAAATGAGACACATTTTAATAGAACATTTTATATTACTATATATTTGAATTGTAATCTATTCCATACATTTCTAACTTAGTTGCTTCATTAATAGGCATTTTAACTTTTTATAATTTCCAACAAATTGTGTGCAGAACATCTGGTTTAGAGGCCAAAGTGGTGTGGTACTTTATTACTCTACTCCTTGCACGCAGAAGTTACTGAATTTTGAACAATAAATGAACTGATGGTAAAAAAAAATTGGCCTTTTATTTTAGATCTTGAATTTTACATAAAACTGCAAATAAACGAAATATTTTTGAGCCTGAAGCCATTGCATGTATATGACAGGAATTGCCATGCATTAACCCTTATAAGAAAATTTTACAACTCTCTCTAGGTTTAACTATAAAAGTATTAAGATAAAGATGGATTTCATTTCAGTTTGTCTTCAGTTACCTATTTAAGCGCATTGATTTTTTGTTGTTGTTTTTCTTGAAAATATTTCTTTTGTACCAAATATTTTTAAGAGTTGAAAATAGTTTTAAATGTCGTGATAGATTCTTGGATTATTGTGTTAATTGAGCATGGCCGAAGCCAATGATATGTGGCTAGTGTTAGGGCTGCCTGAAACAACGGTTCATGGAGCAGTCCAGAGATACCGGGAGACAAACAGGAAGCTACACAAGGAGATCGGGATCAGGCCATTAAAGAGTGACTGGTCCAGCTGATGACCGCTTCATTGCATTGCAGACCCTCAGAAACTGCTTCCAGACTTCAGTTGAGACTTCTCATCGACTGTGTATTGCTCGGAGTAGGGATGTCAGTGGGCGAGCAGTATAGAAGCTTGCTTAACTCAACCTACATGCTAGGATTCCTGGTTCCGTCCCTCAACTCACTGCAGTACACCGAACAGCTCGTCTGCACTTTTGTGTCATGAACACGCTGCCTGGACTGAAGATAATTGTGCCTCTGTTTTGCTTTCCAACGAGTCCAGGTTTAGCCTATATGGTGCAGATGGACATGTTCAAATGTGAAGAAGACCTGATGAGCAATATGCTTAATGCAATATAGTGGAAAGAGTGCAGTTCAGAGGTGAGTTGGTGATGGTTTAAAATGGAATTAGTTTAAAGGCAAAGACAGACCTTCATGTGTTCCAAAGGCCATTGCTAATACACATATGTACAGCACCGACATCCTCAAAGAATATGTGGTGCCTTTTGACCAGTTTATCGACCCTGTTTCCTTTTTATGCAGAATAATGAATGGCTGGGTGTGGGCACCTTGGAGTGGTCAGCATGCAGCCCAGACCTTCATCCTATTGAGCGTCTTTGGGACGTCCATCAGTCGACAAAAAACCTCAAAAAGCTCAGGATTGCCTTGGTCACTGAACGAGATCAAATTTCTCAAGATTGGATAGCCAATCTTATCTGCAGTATGCCTACGAGAATACAGGCCGTTATTCAAACAGGGAGAG